CCACTCCCTGAAATAAGTATCAGTGCAAGATCGTCCAGCCATAGCAGTGATTGCGAACTACCTATGTCAAAACAGAATCCTTATTTATTTATAATCTGAGACAGTTTAACAAATTTCCTGATAAACTAGGAAAATATCAATAATAACCAGTGGCAGCTCTGTGCTTATCACAAGTAAGTGCTTGCTACAATAGGACAGTTGCTTCTGCATACTCAAGAGGTATAAGGTAGGGCTTTGCAAAGGACTTGAGGAAGACCCAACTTCAGAGACAAAACTGTGTATGGAAGTTGGCATCAATGGAAAAAAGCAGGACATAACTCAAACCTGGGGCAAAGATGTATTTCCAATCACCAACTGAGATCATGAGATGAAGGAAGAGAATTAGCTCAGAAAAACCTCACCAACCTAGATACTAAGATGTGAAGAGTGCTGGCTTGCTGCTGCATAAGGTAAAGGTCAGAAACGAAGCTAAGCCTGACAACAGTGGATATACTAATGTTTCCCACTAAAGCAGGATCTCCCCTTTACCAGCCCACCAACAAATTATACAAAGCTCAGAAAGAACACACATTCTTTTGAGCAATTTTGTTAGCTTTCATATCTGCAGAGCTGTTTGAAGGTATTTAAGTATTTGAGATTGGAATTACTCTGCTACATACAGGGCAATTGGCACTTGCTTTCTTTCAGGGAAGGAGAGGAAAAAAGGGAATTCTTATGACACAAACAGTCACTAAATCCTAAGGAAGCAGTTCCCTGTTGCCTACCTTTTAATCCCTAGTTTTCTCGAAGAACATCTTTTTCTCTAAAGCAGCCTACTTTTCTTTAATTCCTCATCAGTTACTATAGAGAAAGGTTGAGACACAAATGGCTACATCAGTTCATCTGATTGTAAGAAGCAGATTAGAGGTCTGCAGTAATTCTTACTCCAGATGAGACAACCTCTGATCACACTGCTGAAGCTGAAGGATCTCATGAAGATTCTTTCTTCAGTCCAGGCATTTGATTTGAGCTATACAAGGCAATTAACTAAATCGAATATCAGTGGGACAGGACAGGATATCATGTATTGCAAGACTTCAAAAAAGTTGTCCTTATTTCATCTGTTCCATTCATCTTCAGTTACCTAGTTGCGTACTGTAGCATGTTTTGGACTAGCACTGAGTAGAAAAGACAGTCCTGTAGGTCTAGCACACGTAGCAATTCAGTTGCATTTCCACCCTTGGCTTGAATCAGGTTGTTCACTCAGAGCTTAACTGTGGTCTCGGTTCACTTTGTTGAATAGTCTGAGACTTGTGCCTTGTCTCTGCAGCAGGATCTTCTGATCCCCTGGTGGGCAAGTGAAAGGCTTTATTAAGGTCCAGTAGAGACTGAGAGGAGCCTACTGTCACAACATTTTACAAAGGCTGATCACTACTTAAATCATTTAGCATCAGAGAAGCCCATAGATTTTTTAAAAATAATAATTTGCATTGCAGTTTTTGCTTTCCATATCTTTAATCCAGGAGAACCTGGCAGAACTGACTGAATACAGAGCACTTGCATCATTTTCAAGTGAATGAAAGAAGTGGGTATTAGCAGCCCTGGTACCCACCATTTCTAAAATTTAGTTAATTCTCTCAAAAGTTCAGTTTAGGAATCAATCAGCCCTCATTGATTTCCTGAGGCAAAGGGCATAGAAGACTAGGGAACATGCATAGACTAGTTCAGTTATACAGCTCCAGCAAAGCCTCACTTACTAATTCAGAGGGGTAACTTATTTCTCCTGGGGTAGAGGCAAATAAATTAAAAGACATTAATTAGGACATTATGTAATCTTTACAAATGCCTGCACACCTTAAGACAGTTTCCAAACTCTTGAACAGATGGAAAGCTGCAATGTGTAAGAAAGAATATATAGGCTTTAAGTATGTGCAACTCCACTGTTTGTTTGAGGTTTTTTTTTCCAGTAGTCTTTAATAAAGCTTCGCATCTGGTAAGCTTAAGGCTGCGTAATAAATACAAGAGCTGCTGATCTTAGGGAAGAGTATGATAAAGTAGTCTTTTCCCATTATCAGCTTCAAAACTTGGAGGACACCATCTGGTCTGTCATCTCAAACAAGACCAGCAACAGTGGCCTGGAGCCACGGGGAAGAAGTCTGATGACTGAGGGGCTAGGTACTCTTTCAGGAAGTTGTAAGGTGCAGCAGTACTTACATGACAGCAGAGGACACAGAAGCAAGAAGGCCAGCAAGCAGAAGGAACATGAGAACACTCAGGATCGATGTAATGACAATCATGCCTCCACTCCTTCGACCAGGCCAGGTATCAATCTTCAAGGGCAGTTTAACTAGAAAAGCAAGGAAGAACCTTCTTATGATCTGGTTTTGACCATGAACACCTCCACCAAATAGGAGAAAGATGGTGATTTAGGAGAGGCAAACTGATTATGTCTATACCTGAAGTCTTAGATGATTTATGGGAAACAGGTTTAACACTCAGTGTCAGCATTTAGAATTTATAAGCTTTCCTCAGCAGATTAGCCAGTATGACAAGTATCTGTATTACTGAGAAACGTCAACAGCACCAGATACCATGACATGCATCAAATCTGAAACCATATCTTCAAACTTATCTTTATTTGAAGTACACAAGAGAAGTAGAGAATTATTCCATATTTAAGTTTGCTACTCCAATATTGAAAGGCTGACAAAATTGTTAAAACTTTAGGAAAGGACTAGGTGGTCTTCATGGAGCAATAGCATCCTAAGGCAAGCACAGGTACTCAGAAGACGTGAGCAAAGCCACAGACTTACCTCTTCTGGTTTTGATTGGATCAGACCAGAGAGTTTGGTCTTTCATGATACCTTCAGTGCTATCTACCAACACGTATTTAAACCTGTGGGTAAAAAGGGTTAAAATTAGGTATTTCAAATTTCAGCTTCGGCACTAGCATTTTTAAGCTACTGGATTAGTTGGTGAGACCTCAGGTTTTGTCAAAGCATTAGATAGACAGTTAAAAGTAACTGACTATTTGCAGAAGCCTTATAAAGAACAAATAGAATTAATCACAAAAAAAGCATTATGTGCTATGTCATGCACAATTAGCACTTCGGTCTTGTAAGCTTTCCAACAACAGTTTTTCTGAGCTTCCAACCCTGTTGTGAAGAGCCTCATTATTTAGGAAAGTAAGTGGTTTTGATTTCTATATGGATGTCAAAGATTTTGTCCAACAACAGAGATCTTTGGCACTTTCCCTGCTAGAGGAGAGCACTGAAGAGACAAACCAACGTCAGATTTGGCAAAGAAATAAGGTTTCCATTCCACAACAATTTGAGTTTTCAGAAATATCCTGAAGAGGTAAGAGGTAAGGCAGTTTTTGCAAAACTAAGAGCCCGTCAGTATTTTGTTTCAGAAGCATGTTAGGTCTCCGCAGCAGATAGGGCTGCATATGACTGCCATTTTTACTACAGCTTTTAATTAGTGGGTAACAGCAAAACAAGTGTTTCAGGTAACAGCTGTCAGGGTGCCTGAATTGGGGAATTCAGGTCAGCTTCCACAGACAACAGGGGTTAGACATTTCTGCAAGCCACCTGGCCCTCACTGGGAAGTCTCCAGTCACATCAGGGGCTTCCTAGACCTGGAGACCAAGGAGAACTTTGTTTTCCCAGAATCCCATCAAAACAAAGTGAGCAGAGCCAGGTCCATGTCTGCAATTTGGCAGAATCATCTAACATAGGATACCTAGCGAATAATCTCAACATCATTTCCCAGTCAAAATATTTTTCTACCAGGATTTTCTAATCAGATGCTGTCCCTCTATTACCTACTCCAACATAGGTATACATCCAGCAGGTCACACATGAATTTTCCTACTGATGCATGAATTTGACCTGACAGAGCTCACAATTGCTAGAGCACCATCTGTGAGATGCTAATTCAAAGCCAAGCCATCTTCATAACAACTCTTGCAATAGAGCAGTTCATCAGGGATGGGTAATTCACATCATACCATTACAAAGGAACATTACAGACTCCATTTTGCTTGTTATTGTGTTTTCTTTGTGTTTACCCCATGCAATGCCACAGGCTTGCGGCTGTAAAGCTGCCTGGCACAAAAGTCCCTACAGGGTGTTGGTCAACAGCCAGCTGAATGTGAGCCAGCAGTCTGCCCAGGTGGCCAAGAAGGCCAATGGCATCCTGGCTTGTATCAGCAGCAGTGTGGCCAGCGGGAATAGGGAAGTGATCATCTCCCTGTACTCAGCACTGGTGAGGCCGCACCTAAAATACTGTGTTCAGTTTTGGGCCCCTCACTACAAGAAGGACATTGAGGTGCTGGAACATATCCAAAGAAGAGCAACAAAGCTGGTGAAGGGTCTAGAGCAGAAGTCCCATGAGGAGCAGCTGAGGGAACTGGGGTTGTTTAGCCTGGAGGAAAGGAGGCTCAGGGGAGACCTGATCGCTCTCTATCACTTCCTGAAAGGAGGCTGAAACAAGGCGAGTGTTGGTCTCTTCTCCCAAGTCACAAGCAATGGGACAAATGGAAAGGGCCTCAAGTTGCAGCAGGGGATGTTTAGATTGGATATTAGGAAAAATTTCTTCATCAAAAGGGTTGTCAAGCATTGGAACAGGCTGCCCAGGAAAGTGGTTGAGTCACCATCCCTGGAGGTATTTAAAAAACGTGTAGATGTGGTGTTTAGGGACATGGTTTAGTGGGGGACTGGCAGTGCTATGTTAACGGTTGGATTTGATGATCTTAAGGGTCTTTTCCAACCTAAATCTAAAGATTCTATGATTAAGAGGAGCAATAACCTTGTAAGAAATAAGAATTATACCTGTATGTTGTGTCTGGTGCCAGAGGTGGGTTACAGACAGCCAGGAAGTTTGGGTCGTACAAACAGGTCACATCATCCCCGACTCTGAAGAGGTATTGTTTCAGGACATCAGAAACTTTGTTGACATCTCCTACATCAGCAAGCTTGGGAGGTGATGCACAGTTGGGTACATTGAACAAGGCAGCCTTGTAAGGTCCGAGCTGTCCTCCGCTTGTTTTTTGGAATGTGCTGTCGAGTGGTTTGCTGCTATTGTCAGTCACCAGGAAGCTTATTGCACTTGCTGCAGGAGAGATGCTTTTTAACGAGGCTGTTAGAACTAGCTCAGCCCTTTCTATTCACCCTGTATTTACTTGGCAACTTGCTCTTCTACTCTAAAACAGCAAAAGGAAAACAAAAAATCTGCTACCAGTTTGGCTGTGTAGTGATTCTACCCCTTCCTCCTTATTTGTTGATAAAACTCTTGACACTTGTCCCTCACAAACTGCGAAGATCCACAGTGTATCTCACAGAAATACTTTCTAGTAGCCACCCTCCCAAGATTGCTGTTTTCCAAGGAGAATCTGATAGAGTGGGGAAGGGGGTGGCAAAGGCTGCTCTTCCCCTAGGCTGCACATGATTCCAATAAACATCCACCAAATCTTGCCATTGCGGATTTGATACTATAGCCCAGGCAGAGTTCCTACAGAGTCACTACTCTCCCATTTCCTGGAGCAGAAGCTCTTAGACCTCTGGTCAAGCAACATCTGGACCTACCAGAACTGCACAGTATGCAGACCAGTGTACAGGGGCTGCACGAACAGATGTGGTATCTACATTTCTGGCCAGTGAGGCATGCCGGTTCTTCCGGACAGCATGCCACAGAAAGTCTGAAAGTCCTCACAGCTTCAAGCGAAGCATGAATCTGCACCCAGCCCTACTGCATAGTTTGGAAGCTCAGCTGCAGCTCTCAAACCTTTCCTGCTGCAAAGCCAAGGCACAAGTCCCAAGAGATGTTCCCAAGTTCTGCAACTGTGGGTTCATTTTTTTTTCTGAGCAGCCCCCTCCAGCTATTCAGTGCTGTCAAAGGAACACTAGTTTCTCTAAAGCTGCGGTACACTGGGAATCGCGTTGGTTTGGAAGCGTTTTGCTCTGCTCCTGGAGCAGAGTTCTCGCAGCCCTCAGCTTTGTAGTATATGCTGTCACGTTTCCTTACCAGCAGAGCTGAACATAAGGTGTTAAGAAAATTAAGTTCTCTAAAATTTCCCTTCTCCCTGCTCCAAGAGACATCCAAGGGTGAGCCAATGTGCTTCTCTGCAGACCAGAAACAAATCTAAACAAAATTCCTTCCAGTCTGCCAAGTAACAAGTTTGCATCTACTTGCCTTAAAAAACGCAGAAGATATTTCTCTAATCTAACCCCTTTTGTAGAGATTCACCCATCTGTGTAGGAAGCTTTTGCCACAGAATCTGGAGAAGATGAAGTGGTTGATGTAATTTCTAACACAAAACATCACGTTTGCGTATTTGCAGGTATAACTAGATATCAGCAGCCTTTTATAAAATTATAATGCACTTCTAGTCTGTTTTAGACATATAGAGACGTGCACTTCGGTCATTGGATGTTTCTCAGAAGGCCGTGCATTCACAGTTTGTGTTAACTGCATGGGATGGTGTCTCCAGTTACAGCTTCTACCCATCCAAGGCCGCTTCCTCCCACCTTATGCAAAGTGGCAACAACCAGCAGTGCAAATTTTAGACCGTTTTGTCAGTTGGCCAATTTCTCTACTGTCCGCCCCCCACCAAGATCTCTTCTCTGTGCCTCTTAGAAAAGGAGGCTGCATACAGCCTTCGGGGAAGAAGGCATGATATAAGGAAGTCGTTTATTTTTGTCAGCTTATGGAGTAGCTCTAGCTGGCTTTCAAAGCAGTCTGCCAGAGCAGCAGGGAACAGAGAAGGCAGCTCTTGGTCACTGCCAGCAGTGCTCCGTTGCCAAGCAGTTATGAAACTCATTTTATGAATGAGCCCATGGGTCAGCATTTTTGACCTCAAGTCTAGCATGACTTGCCTTCGTCTACAAAAAAGAAAATGTAGTCCTTTCAAGGGCTGGCTACCCTAACTATGAAGCAGACAGCAGCAGTTACCCAGTTTCTCTGAGCAGGTTTACTTAGGGGAATTCAGGCTTTTACACAAGGCGTCTGTGTTTAGACAAAGATAAGTTATGGGGCTGTGGACCACTTGGTTTCCTTAGCAAGATCTGGACAAATGTTTATAGCTGATGGTGCTGCTCCACACCTACTGGGAGTCAGGTAACACAGTACTAACACTTGCTATCGTTAATCAGCCCCGTTGAAATACTACGGTTATTTATATTTTATAATAATACCCCAGAGAAAACTGAGACCAGAGGCTCAGCTCGTACATAGCTTACAGCTACAGATTTTTCTCTTTTCCCCCATTCAGACCTACTCCCATCAACGCGTGAAGAATTGCATACAACAGCCACATCATACAGTTATCTTCCAGACAAGCATAATGCTGGATACTTACCTGATTGCTTCATTGCGTACAAGTAGATGACATAAGATTTATTCGGACCCAGTGAGTTGTCAAACACGCAGAAAGGTTTTTCTAGAGCAACTGTAGTGAGAGTGGGATTGTTTATAGCAAGGTGAGGGGCTGCAATCTGAGGCTTCAGGCTTTGATCTAGAAGAGAAAGTTACCAAAGAAAGCATATGAAAAAATCTTTCTCCTCTCCCCCTGCAAGCTCTGACTCAAAAGGGACAATCTGGCAGTGCTAACAAACAACACCAAAACATAAAAGGGGGATGTGAACGGCAGCTGAGCAGAAAACAGCCTGCCCGCCCCATGAAAGTCTGAGAGTTAGGGATTTTGCTGTAATGCAAAACATGAAATGCAAGGATTTGGGGAGGGAGGTAAGAGATGTTGCTCCTCAAACATACTGGTCACGTCACCTCAGAAGGACAAAGGCAAAGCCTCATTATAGGGGAGACTTGAACCTCTGTCTTTAGGGTCCCACGTACACCCTCCCCCCTCCAGCGGCACCACCAGAAGCAGTACAGCCAGTTCCTGAATCCTGTGGCAGCAGAGTCTTAAAAAGGTTTTTAAGACCAAGCTTGTTATCATACAGAGTGAGAGATTTAGCAGAGAAGAAAGCTGTCTTGGAGAGGTCCTGGACAGAGTAAATGGTATTGGAATAAAGTTTATATCAGACGCTTCCCCATTCACCACACAAGCTCATCCCATCTCCAGTCTCTTGGAGATTAACTAAGAACGGAGAGAGAGATTGAGCAGCTCCTCTTCCTTCCCAGCCTTGCTGCAGTAGAGACATTTTAACAAGCTTCCAGCAGAATTTACGTTTGAAGCTCTAAACTCCCCTCCCAATGCAGATCCTAGAGCAGAAACTTGACACTCAAGACAAAATAAAAAAAAAAAAATAAGAGAAACAGAAAAAGTAGAGATACAAAGAGAAGAGCAACAAAAAAAGAAGAGGCTGCAGACAGATGCCTCTTACCTGCACACAGCTGTCCCAAGCACCAAAAGACTAATACAACCCAACAGCTGCACATGCTTGAGCCCTCCAGAAACCTGCTATGAAAGGAAAAACAATGTTTGGAGGCAGACCCCACTGAAGAGCTCCCACATCCACTCCCTCCCTGAAGCCAACCAGTCCCGCTCCTTTCCGCAGGGTCTCTGTGGCTGGGAGCTGCCTACCACCTCAGCACCTCCCTATATTCTTATTGCCCCTCCTGCTCAGGTGTCCCTGCCCCCCACCTATTATCTGCTCCCAGGTGAGGAAGGGTGGTGTAGTTTTGATTTCCACCTGACACCGGGCACCAGTGTAGCTCTCAGCAGTTCTATGGGTGCAGAGAGTATTTTCCCACCTGAGCAATTGCTATGTGGCTTTATTCTTTACCGTCTTCTGCCTAAAAATTTTTGAAATCTCTTATGTAGGGAACATTTGGGACTGGATATCTGAATCCTGCATCATGAATGGTTCTGATTCAGAGCTCTGAACTTGGACAGCCTTAACAGAGATTACAATTGCCTTCTGAATTGTGTTTCCTGGGTTACATCCTGAAAAACATAAGCCTCCTGCTTCTTGTTAACTCTAATATGATTCAGGGCAACTACATGAAGAACAAACCACTGAGGAAGTTGAATCTGACCTGTTGTACAAAATTGTTCAACTGAAAATAGTCTTGATGAGTAATTGCTAGTACAAATGGTCTATCACATAAGAGCTCAGATGACAAAATTATTAATCACCCACTCAAAACAGGCTGAGGGGAAAAAATAAGTATCAGCAAGATTTTACAGAATCAGTAGGGCTAACATGATGTCACTGCAGCAACTCCAGATTTACACTAATATCACAACAGTTAGATTACCAAATCCATCTCCTTTATGGATATTGCATGGAAGCCAGAAATCTGTTTGAAATATGTAATCAAATTATTATAATGCAATTTCCTCCCCATATGTGTCTGGTTTTGTTTCAAATTCTGCATGTCATCTTCAGTGTGTTTGGTTTGACTTTTTTCTCACACTGCTTTTGAGAGAGAATATTGAATTCAGGAGTTATCCCAGATTTGCCCTGCTATAGAATAGAAATGAGTTGTATTATTCCTTCTCACTCTACACTGCACTCTAAGCCTGTGCTGGCATAGATACTCAGGTATCAAGTATCAAGTTATCTGGCTTAATTTATCAAGTTAAGCCAGAAAAGATCTTACCCTTCTGTCTTTTACTCCTAAGAATCTGATTTTTAACATTTGCACTAGGGACGTTAGTTGTACAAACTTGGTACTGATCTGGTTTTATCCCTTAAAGGAATATAAATGAGGCACAAAACCTGGAAGGTTTCTGACTCCACGGTAAAAGCTGAGCTTAACAACAACGAGATTTCTCTCCATCATAAAATCAATACTTTCTCCAAATATTGATTCCTGTAAAATCAGATCCTGAATTTTCAGGCCGGTAACCCTTCCAGAGCAATCAGCAGTGGCTTTTTTTTTTATTTTTCCCCCTTATGATAGAAAATAGATAGGTTATTTTCCTAATTTTCTAAAAAATAGACACCAAGGCATATTAGATGGCAGAGAAAAGGAAATATTCTACTTCATGGCATGCAAGCCACTTGCATGTGCTACAAAATACTCTTCCAAGTTTTATAACACAGTGCTGCTCCCTCTTTCACTTTCTAAAGCATCAAAACAGACAACAGAAAAGAATGTAAATTTTAAAAATCAACAGATTAAGGCCCAGAATCACACAAAAATTGTGATTTAAAGGTAGCATATTTTTTTTCAGATTCACAGCCATCAAGCAATAAATTCAGAGCTTATTGCTCAGGCAAAATTCTGCATCACCTTTTTGGTGCTTAGCCTGAGTGAGGAGTGGGGAAAACTTCTCCTTGGGCTACAGCCATGCAAACTGTTGCTCAGGCGATTAATTTTACAACAGCCAGAAGTATTTCAATAGAGCTGCTCATCACAGAAAAGTTAATCACCTTTTAAAGTGGTTATAGGATGACAATTTTTACCATTATTTTTCATGAGGCTATTTTTTTAAGCCATCATGATTTTGTTAAGTATAAGGCCATCTTGTGCTCTGGTGGAATTCACCAGCCACAATAAGGGGGATATCATTGCCTGCGTTGCAAGACTTTAAAATTGTTGGGTTTGTTCCATGCTCAGAAGAATCTCAAGCAAAGGTAGAAGATTAACTTGACAATAAACTCTCTCAGCTCCATCTGTGCTGGCAGATGTGTCCTAAATTAGGACCACATCTCATCCTTGCTTACACTTGTGTACATCCATTTTAACTCCACTGAAGTCAGGGAAGCTGGTCTGGTTTTAAAGGATGTTGCCAGGAACAAACTTAAGCTCTGTATAATTACAGCGTTCCCTGAAGTAAGTGCAAGAGAAGATATCTGTGTAAATTCCTATGTCTTCATTTAAGCGACAATGGCTTTTCTTGCTCTATGTTACCTTGTGGGCAAGTCTGGACTAATTCATAGAAGCCTCCAGAGTCAGTTTGGATTGATGACTCAGTGCAAACAAAACATGCCTGTAGCCTTGGCTTTCCAAAAGTATGTGAAGCCCATAAGAGTTTCAGGAGGATGAGGCCTGAAGTCCCGAAAGGCCATGAAACGTATGGAACTCTCCAGGATCTGAAGTACAAACCTTCTTTACATGCTTGACTGTGGGCACAGCGGAGATAACCTTCCGTACTCTGCTGTGCTCCATCTCTCCGACCCACCGCATGGGCTAAAATTTGTGGGCAACTTGCAAGCTCAGCTCCATGTATAGACATTACAGTGTTTAATAAAGAGGTTAAAAAACATGGTGGTGACATCTACCAGTCAAGAAATAATCTAATCCAAAGGGTGAGAAAGACAAATAAAATATGGAATCCATTTCAAAGTTCTTTGATGGTCCACACTAGTTTTCTGCATAGCTATTATTAGCTTGTAATTTCCTGCAGATATACTGGTGGGTGTAGACCTTGAGGAATGAGCTGAAAGAGGAGAGGAGTAATGCATTTGTGAATTAATTTTTAAAAAGCATTCCATGAATATGGGAGATCTGGAAGAGAATGCAGAGATGGTTAAAAAAAAAAAGTTGATAAAACAGGTGATCAAGGTTTGGGAGAGTGGGAGAGCTGACAGCTGAAAATGGGGAAATACAGAGACACAGAATTATAAAATATTGTGAACACGAGGACAAGTTGGAATGAAAAACAATGGAAAAGTTTTTCCTTCTCTCCACTCACTCTTCTTCAGACATGATCTGGCAGGAACTATAACTGGCTCTAACCACCTCTACTGCTCAGTCTTATGTATCATCTGGTCTGCAAAGGTTAACCGCAAGGGAAGCAGCTGTTGTACTGCTGTTATGATGAGAACATCTGTCTATTTGAGAGTGGCACTGAAACCAAAAAATCCGTTCAAAGAGGTTACTGGTCAGCTACTTCAGAAGTGGTTGTTCTGGGGGCTGGTATTACATTGTCATGGGCAGTGCCTGGAAATCCAAGCTATCCTGGCAATGGAAACTTTCATCTAATGGTAGATAACTTTCCGTCACTACTGCACTGTGTTTATATCATAAGGCTGCAGATGAAAGGGAGAATTTTTCCATTTATCCAGGGAGAAAACTCCTCACTGAAGCAGGAGGTGATATACCCCTTATGACACTGATCTCTCTCGAAGTCTTCCCATTTTCCATTTATCTAGGGAGAAAACTCACTGAAGCAGGAGGTGATATACCGCTTATGACACTGATCTCTCTCGAAGTCTTCCCAGAATACTTCAAGGCAGTAGGAGATCACATTTCACAAGATCTGCTGCACAATGGCCACACAGAGGCCTGGTACCTTGTATGGTTCTGAAATCTCTTTGATATGTCTTTGGCTTCCCGGAGAAGTATTTCTGTCCTTTGTTGCTGCCACAAGGGGCATTCACTTCTGGTCGTAAAATCTACACACCTGTTAACATGGCCTCAGGATTTCTTTTCAGGACCTCTCTTCCTCCTTTCCTAATAAAGTCCCTTTGCATGTACAGATTCTGAACCTCCAGAAGAGCTCTGCAAACCACTTTTTAATGAAGGGACCAGTGTGATGGAGATAAGCACCACCTCACATTCACTCAGCACAGAAACAGAGTTATGTGCTGATGGGGGTCCCATCTGTGCACAGATCGGAGCAGCATGACTCACCAAGCCACTGATCTCCTTAAGTTAGAAATCTTTCATGTGACCATAAAGAAATACGAAGGCTGTTAGAAACATGAGAATTTGGCACTTATTTCATCATCTGGTGACAATTAATTCTGTGCAAACCTGAAAGGTCAAGCAGTGGAAACATCAGGAAGGGAAAAATAACTTTATACATAAGAAATTAGGGCCACACTATTGTCTAATATAAATTGGCATGGCTCCGTTGAGGTAAATGTCTTACTACCAGTAGAACTGGTCTTTCTTGCATTCCCCTCAGAAATCACATACAAAATCTTATCATTGCAGTAAACCCTGAACAATCACAGAGCACTGAAACATCTGCAGCTTGGAGGAGCCAGGGGTTAAAACGAAAGGCCTCTTTGTTACACAGAAGTTACTGTTTTCTTTGCTGAGGAAATATCTTACCATCTACAGTTATCTGCTTATACTATTAACTCATACTATTACGAATGACTAAGAAGTGCTTCTTTTTGTGAAAGTCCTGGGTTTATGTGATGGTGTAGATGTCTCTAATAAAAGCAAGCACTGTCTGCTGCAGCTTCTCAGAACTGCCCCTTATGACAGATCATTTGTGCCAGGCAGGTCAATGTAGGATGGTCCCTCATTTCTTCACTTAAAAAATGATATTTTTCTACTGTAGGGAATCCACTGTTGGTTGAGGGGCTTATTCTAAACATAAGTTATAATGAGGGGTCACACTACTGTAGAGGAGGAAGAAGAGAAAGTATCTTTGGTACTTTAGAGTGGTTGGGTAATTGTGTGGTGTATCTATGACCAAAGTAACATGGCTTTTGATGAAGAATTAAGCAAAGATGGCAGAGGATCGAGTTAAGCTTCCTGGCCTGTGAA